AGGGAAGGGGTGGGGGGGGGGTCAGACAAGGAGGATGTCCCTGCACTTACTAGAAACTATTTGATCCTAAATGACTTTGGGTCTCTTCTGCTTTCCAGCTTGCGTCTGGGGTCACCCAAAGCCAATGGGCCTTGGCAGAATGGATGTGAGAAACTGCTCAACCAGTCCTCCAGTGAGTCCCTGGCTCTGCCCCCGCATAGCCCACCGCATCACCCTCTGCATGCCCCATTGGCTCAGTTGCCAGGCTCTCCTCCTACCAGGCTTTCTCCTGACTCGGAATTTCTTAATAACGCATCTAACATCCTCCCTCCCCTCCCATTGGTGCCCTCCCTCCCCTCCCACTCATTCCCACAGCAGGTTATGCACTTTGTCCCTGGCCTGGGCCTAGGCTGGGGGAAGGGAGGAGGAGGGCAGGAGGATGGGAGGCCCCTTTCTGGCCTTTGGCTGCAGCTCAGGAGGAGGATGGGAGGAAAGAAAACAAACATCCTAGAGGAACAGTGAAGAGGGACACGCAGGAGGGAGGGAATCAGGGGGCTAGAAGAGCCAATGGAAGGACAAGAGAGGAGGGCCTGGGGTATAAAGGTAAGCAGAAGACCCTGCAGACTGGAGTCAAAGGGGATCTTGTAGTCAGCTTTCTAGCTAGAGATCGGTGTGCTTTCCACTACCAGCACAGGGTTAAAGATCGTCTCCAGGCAGGGGTGGATTAGAAGGGGCAAAGTGGTGAGCGTGCCAGCAGTACCCTCAGCCACAGGACAGACATAACATGGCTGCCAACCGTGTCAGCTATGGGACCGCTGGTGCAGGCAGGTGTGGGTGGGAGGAGGCAGAAAGCGCATTCCTTTTATTTTTAAACAAACACGGAGGCCAGCAGATGGCATAACAGTTACGTCGCTGGACTCCCACATGGTTGACTACATTTCGAGTCCCGGACCTGGTGGCTTAAAACTCACACCAGGTGTGTGTGTGTGTGTGTGTGTGTGTGTGCATACCTGTCCAAAATCCTGAGAGGCGAATAGAGGGGATGGAACTGAGGAGCGGCCATCCCCCCGAAGGGGTGATTTCTTACTTTCTATCTCTCTGTCTCCCTAGTGAGTGCATGAGCTCTATAGCAAAAAATCTCTCTTAAAAAAAAAACAAAAACAAAAACAAAAAATGCAAACACAAACATGGCTATGTCATTGAGTAGAAACTAAGCCATGCTTTTAAAGATAAATGGTCTTTAAAGAAATGTCTGGCTTGGAGAGGGTCTCTCTGGGCAATGACTCAAACTTCTGGGGGTACTCATTCACTCTCCTCTGCCATCTGAGACCAGTGGAGGACAACCTGGGAAAGTCCTCCAGGGAGCCAGCCCTGTGGCCTGGTGGTTAAGGTGACTGGATCTCACGTGGCCTACTGCATGGTTCAAGTCCTGGACCCAGAGTGTGTGTGTGTGAGTGCTCAGAATCCAAAGAGAATGGTGAAGGGATTACAACATGGCCATCCCCCTAGGGAGTGCTTCCTACCCACTCCCCACCCCTGCAAGTGCATTAACCCTTTAGCAAAATTTTTTTTTTTAAAAAAAGGAAGAAAGAAAAAGTACCCAAGGTAGGATTATCAGGTTTATAAACTACAGGACACTTAACTGCATTTGAATTTCAAATAATGAACAATATGTTAGTATAGGTATGCCCCCAAGTAGCACATGGGACTTGCTTACAATAAAATGCTACTTATGGTTTCTTGAGATTCAAATGTAACTAGGTAAGCACGTTGTGGTTTTATTTGCTAAATTTGGGAACTTCACCCTAAAGTATTCCAAAGGGAGCCATTGCTGTGGCCTGGCCCAGTGCAGCTCTCAACCCAATCTCCATCCTGGACTCAGGTCGCATTACTGTAACAAAGGGTCCCCCTCCAAGCACTTCTATACCTCCATTTCCGCTTAGCTCGGGCACCTTAGCCTCGACTAACCAGTAACATCAGTAACTGCTCACCTCCTCCCCGAGCCAGGCCAGCCTAACCATCCCCAATCCTGGCCACAGGAGAGTCTGACGGCTCCTCTGGAGGCTGGCAGCCCAGGTGTCATTTCTCTAAGTGATGTATGTATCTCTGTGTGTTCGTGTCTTCTGTCATCTGATAGTACCTTCCAGTTACTGCAGTCAATACCACGGCACAGCTCGCAGCCCTCCGCCAGGAGATCCAGACCCAGAGTCTCTTTGCCTACATCATCCCAGACACGGACGCCCACATGGTGAGGGATGGCTCCTATCCCGCCTTGCCCTCTCCTCTACCTTCGTGCAGCCTATGAACACAGGCCACCCATAGGAGGCTGTGAAGTCTCGGAAGACGAAGGCAGAGAAAGGATCTGACAGGCAAACGGAAGAGCTTGGACATGATCGTTTTAGGGCAACTCTTTCAATGTCCTCTTTTGTATAGGAGAGTAGACATTCCCAAATGCCTCGACCTCAAGAAATGAGACTATAAACAACTTCAGAACTGATTTTGATCAGTTCCTAGATGGCAGATCCAGAATGAATGATTAGGACATCCCTACCCTAGAAGGTTAGAATAGGGCTTGGAAATTGGACTGGAACAACTTTAAGCTCCCTTCTGGCCTAGGCCCTCCATAACCTGTTGGATGGAGCAGTGAAATGATCCAGTCTCAGACTATGTGTTCTATCCATTCTGTTGCTAGTTACAGAAATACCTGAGTCTGGGTAATTTATAAAAATAGAGGTGTGTTTAGGTCACTGTTTAGATGTCCAAGATGAAGGTGTCACATCTGGTGGAGGGTCCTCTTGCTTATGGATCACATGGTGGAAAGCAGGCAGGACCTTGAGCAGGGCTATCCCGTTCCTTCTCCTTATAAACCCACCAGGATTCATTTCCCAGAGGCCCCACCTTTCAACACCATAATGGAATTAATTCTCAACATCATTACAATGGCTCACCAGATTTTAGCATAAGAATTTTGGGGGACACATTCAAACTCCAGCACTACGCAAGTGTGGGGTATCAGTCATGGGGAAGGGCAGACAGGAAACAAGATGGTCTGAACCTGAACTAACTTTCCCAAAGCAGCTCCCGTGTCCACTCATCCCACCTTTCCCACCACTGACTCCACCTCTACCCCCCATCCACCTCCCCAACACCAGCCCAGGTAGAAGAGAAGGCATTTCACTGTCAGTGAACTTGCTTGAATTAATTTTCTCATCTGTTGGGAAGAGCTAAGAACCTTAGGTAAGTATCTGAACTTTTCTGAGTCTCCATTTTCTCTCCTTGAAAATGGAACAATGAGATCTGTCTCCAAGGACTATAAGAATTAGAATACGATGACGTGTAAAGCCCTCTGCAGGAGTTATCCACGATGACCCTGTGTGCCACTCTATTCTGGGGAGGGATGGGGGTAGCTGGAGAGGAGGACCTGAAATAACCAAAAGATAGACTCCTTGAGTGCACAGAATTTGTGTTGTGGTTGGGGCAACAAGGCTCCTTTGTAGAACAGTCCTGTGGACCACTGAGTCCACTGCTGTATGGTGGTATTTAGACTCTCATCTCTTTAGATGGCTGGAGGAATTGCAGAGGGCTTTCTGGGAGAAAAGCACCAGTGTGCTTGACCTTATAGGACTGGTTAGAGCTGACCACTTAGAAAGAACTGAGATGTGGTTGGGGGCCTTCCTTGTGGGGTCCAATTCCATGAAGAAGGCTAATGACGGTGTTGTTGATTTCCTAGAGTGAGTACATCAGCAAAGCTGACGAGAGGCGTGCATGGATGACGGGCTTTACAGGGTCTGCAGGTGACAGCCATTACCCAACCCTGCTTGCTTCTGTTGGTAGATGAGAGGTAGTCACAGAGGACCTGGCTAATTCCTCAGCAGCTGGGACCTCAAGACCTAGTGTCCAGAGGCCTCTTCTACTCTCTTTTCTCTCTGCGCCTCCCCCTAGTTCCTCAAACTACCAGGTTCCCCAGGACACACATCTCATAGCCCACCAGCCACATTTCTGTGTACCGATGAGGTGGTTAGGCAGTTGTCCCTCTTGGCTTCCTTCCCATGATCACTGCCTCTGCCACAGTTAGGCCCAGCCCAGCATTCCCTAGGCTCCATTTTTGACATAGTTACTACTACATCTAGCCAATGTGGGCCCACTGATTCCCTTCATATCCTGGCTCATTTGGGGGCAAAGTTTGTCTATGGTGGTCTTTTTTACAGACATTATCACTTCTCATGGCCAAATGAGACACAAACATAGAGGCCCTTTCTGAGACCCCAGTTTCTGAAGTGGCCTCCTACCCTGGCTGGCCCTACCCCCTTCAATGAAACCCGTTTCTCTTGCCGATCCTCAAGTGTTCTTGGCTTTCAAGCTGCCCTGCTTCACCTGTCCTGAGTCGTTTTTTGTTTTGTTTTGTTTTGTTTTTTGTTTTTTGGTTTTTGGTTTTTTTTTTTACCAAAATTCTTGGGTTTGTCTTTCTCACCAGTCCTCAGCTAAGCATCTGGTTTGGGATCCCCACCAGCCACTGAGTCTTGACACTGGACCCATCTTTCCTCACAGCACTTACATGCAGCATCAGATCTTTGGGACTGCCAAAAACTCCCTCCTCCTGCAGAGTCCAGAGGCCCT